GAGGCAGATCTTTCAGTTATCAGGCTCCTCTCTTGTGGAACCAACTTCCAATCTCTGTCCGTGAGGCTGACACATTATTCAGTTTTAAAACTAGGCTTAAGACTTTCCTTTTTGCTAAATCCTATAGTTAGGGTCGGCTTGGGTTTCCTGAGCTGTCCCTTAGTTATGCTGCTATAGGCTTAGGTTGTTTTCACACCAGATAGTCCGGTAGACTCGGTTTGGGACCAATATTCATGAGCCTTTGTTTACATTTGAGCTGGTGCGTTTGCATTCACACTGCACTGTGCAGTCGAGTCAACCTGTTGAACCAACCTATTCCCCCGCTCGCCTGTGGGGGCGCTGCACCAAGAACTACTGAAAGAAATGACACAAAACCTCTGGAGACACGTCTTCTTCTTCTTCTTCTGTAAATAAAAATAATAACGAAGTGGCATCAAGTTTTAGCAGTTTTAGGAGTTATATTTTGTAATTTTTCAAAAATGGACTTAGCATGAGCAGAAGATGAGACAGAAGACCACGGAGAATATTGTTTTTCACACAAGGCAGCTGACGGCTCCATATAAGGTCAGAGAAATGCTGTTTGTTTACCCTGCGGAGTGGGTCCCGGTCTGTTTACATTCACACTGTACTCGAACCGCGCTGAAGTTTGCTTCTACCGGACCGAGACCTAGGTTTTAGCCCGGGCCAGAGTTCGCCTTTTTGTTCCATGACAGAGTTTGATGGCGCTTTCACACCTCCCTAAACGAACCGGACTTTCTAGGAAAACGAGCTAGAGTTCGATTAAAGCGGACTAAACAGGGCTAGTGTGAATGCACCCTTATATAAACTGACCACACTTTTCACTCTACTTCTGTCTTTACTTACTCTGCTCAACCTGTTTTGTATTTGTAATTATTTTTTCTATCCTTAACATGTTTTTTTTTTTTTTTCTGTCTTTCAGGTACACCTGGACCTATACCTGGACCTACCATTCTGTGTTCGTCTGTCTCTCCTTCCTGTCCTCTCAAACCAGCCGGTCAAAGCAGATGGCCGCTTGTCGTGAGCCTGGTTCTGCTGGAGGTTTCTTCCTTTTAAATGGGAGTTTTTCTTTCCACTGTTGCCACTGTGCTTGCTCAGGATGGGAGACTGAAACGAAGCCAAGATTCAACTTGTCTGCTGGATTCTTTAGATAGAGAACTTTACTAATTGGCTTTTATGTATGTGAATGTTTCTGTAAACTTTGTTGGGATTTGGTGCTATTTACAAAAACTGAATTGAATTGAATTGAATTGATTGTCTCCAAATGGCTTGACACTCAGGTCCAAGTTTTGAAAATGGTGCCAGAAAGTTAAAATATTGTTCACTATTGACACATTACAAGTTTGACTAGACAGTATTTTAACTAGAGTTGATGACAAACTGGAGTTGAAATGATCAGAGTCTGTTCCTTTGTTTGGTCTAATGCTCCTTTTTTTCAGTCAGACAACTTTTACTTAAACGTGTTTACTGCAGTTAAAATGACACATTGGTTTTGCTTTGTTTTGAATAAAAAATTCAAAGATATAATCATTCCTCTTTCTTATTTTGCTTAATGGTTTTTAACTCTGTATGACATCCCTGAAATTCTGATGCACAGAATCACAAGTCCAAGTGTGAACTGTGTCACAGAGTAAACACAATAAAAACATGTATTATCTGCAGCATTGTTCATTAAAATGACACAACACTATTAATGTAGTACAGAAAATATACATACGGTGGACACACTTAATGATATTGTACTTTGTAGATCATGGCATTGGGTAATACATTCAATTACGTTTACTTTTAATACTTTTAAGTATTTTTAAAAGCAAGTACTTACTTTTACTCAAGTAAAAATGTTAATGTGGTACTTCTACTTTTACTACAGTACATTTGTGTCAGTATATTTGAAGTAGTATTTGGGTACTTTCTCCATTTCTGCCTGCAACATATAAATACAACATTGTTCATTGTGTCATTTTGGCGTCTGCTGTGTACATTTTTTATTGGTGGAGTATATGTGGCATTGTAAGCGTACTAATAAGGTATACAAAGAGTTTTTTTGTCAGGATAGGTACTTTCTCTGGTCACGTGATGTGAACTGATATAAGACCAACATTTCCACTCATCATTCATTCCACAAACATAAAACTCTTAGAAACTGAAGTGCAAGTTACTGTTGTGGGTTTGGTTTGGACTTTACTTAGACAAGAAGAACAGAAGACATATTGTCATAATGAGATTGTTCTGAGCAGCGCAACAGAGGACTCAGGCAAGAAGACGAACCAGAAGATTGTAAGTGAGACCATGGTAGACGCAGACACAATACTGACAGTTGGTCATTACCATGGGCTGATGGAAGAAATGAAACTGCCACAAATTTGTTGCAGCAACTTCACATATAAGAACAATGTGCCACACCAACAAAAACAAAGATGGTTGCACCAAGGCAGTGATACACCATTCTTACAATGGAACTTCCCCAACGTACAGCGCAATATACGTAACAGGAATGCAATATGAACAGCACAAGGACTCTCTACACATCACAAAACTTAAAGTTTTACAACACTTGATTTCTTCACATTTTGATCTTTGTAAATAAAAAAAAAATCAAAATACACCAACATAGGTGGCAAAAAAAAAAAAAAAAACAGTGACAGAAACTTTAAATTTCAACAGCTTTTACATCTAATTGGTAAAGACTATGGAGCTCTGGACTATAGCCACATTAATATAAAAACATTAACATTAACCTCGTGTGAAAATTAGATGAAATGTCTCAAATGTATTTTTGGAGTAAGCAACAAATGTTGCTTCACTTTGCTCAGAAAAGAAACACTTTTGAGTTTTGCAAAGTTTCTTAAAAAATGAAGTTACAACAGATTCCACTTGACCTTAAGTGACTTTTATGTAAGCAATGGAACTTAGTTTTTTGAAGATGTTTCTTTATTTCCGTTCAAAAGAACTTTCTCAGTTTAAAACCAATCAGTGATGTTCTTGTGAGTTGTATTAGTGCATGTGTTGTGAAGGACTCTCAGTATGGCATAAAACTTGAGCTCAATATTAGAAAATTTAAATGAGTTATAGCCATTTTGTGTTTGCTAAGGCTGATTAGCTGAGGTGGTCATTTTGATTAGAAATTAATCTAAAAATTACTTGTTTGTAGATGAACATGTAGATGTAACAAGGTTGAGCCAGATCCTCTGGATGGATTCTTCTTGTTGAAACGTTTCATCTTTTATCCAAAAGAGTTTTTCAGTCTGAGGAGCTGCAACAAACTCAGTCTTATAAGCAGCACCTTCTTATAGTAGATCAATCAGTTTGTTGGAGACAGCCAAAACTAGTTGTTCACATGATAAACGAGGACTAAATTGATCGTTGATGCCCTGATGGCAGCTTACTATTCACAGAGGGCTGAGAGATACTAGCAATAACAGCATTATAAGAGATGGAGAGTTGAACACGGAGGCCTCCGCCCCTGTATAATGACGGGCGAATTTCCCAACAAGAACCCACCCATCATTAAATGGGGTGGAGGCCTCCGTGTTCAACTGTCCCTCTCTTATAATGCTGTTATTGTGAACAAAAACAACAAAGAAGAATCCGTCCAGAGGACCTGACCCCATCTTGTTCGATTTATCTCTCTGGATCATTGAGCATGCATCAGGACAACATCAAATGATACTTTTCTGAAAGTTTACATAAAATCCATGGAGTGGTTCATAAAATAATTTTGCTAACAAACCAATTTACAGACAGACAGGCAAAACCGTATTGCCAGTCTTTCACATTTTGGTGTCACGCAAGAAAAATAAGAAATTTAGTCCAGTAGCCTTTCGGAAGAAAAGTCAGGATTGCAATGTCCTGCATGAGTGAGCATTTACAATAACAGACATTAGTTGGTTTTTAATCACTGTTTTTTGATAGACATGTTGACATAAAATGTGAAAAGATTAACTTAAAATATTTAGAGAATTATTTAACATGATTTTTTTTTTGGTATTGAATTAGGGTGCATTAAGCAGAAAGAAGTAATTCAAGCAAATATTCCAAACCAGGTGAATAAACCAAATGTGCATTTTGACTTTTAAGAAACTATTATTAAAGAGATAGTCTGATCATTTTTAAAGTCAGGTTGTGTCTAATACTTATCAAGTTACAGCTTTAACAGCAGTGACTTTAGACACAGAGCTCGGAGTATAGCAAAAAGGGTAAAGTTTAAATTCAGGCTAGACTGACGGCTGCTTAACGAGAGCCCCTTTTCTCTCCCTCATTGGCATATGATGATCTACTCATGCTTTGCACACATATATTGACTTAATATCATGAATGCTGTCCACTTGAGAATACAACAATAAACCAAATAAATTGTATTATGCAAAACGTTAGGCTATTAAGTTTAATGTCAAATAATGTAGCATTCTTTCAAATTGGTGTGCCATTTTAGTGAGTTGTTTTAAAAGACTGAAAGTTGAGGGAAAAAGCCCGTTTTATTAGCCGATAGCCTAGCCTGGATGAAGACTTCTGCCCTTTTTGTCCACATGCTGTGCTCTATGACTGATAACTACTACCGATAAATATTTGACATAACATCAGTTCAGTAATATTCAAATGGTTGTTTTAAAACGTTGCCACAAATTTGTTTAACAACTGGGTAAAAAAACACATCTCCTTGGGCTGCTATTTCAATTTGAATGTAATGATAAGCAGCTAAGCAGAGAGGAAAAAACCATTGGTATCATAAATAAGCAACAAAGACAGAGTTGAGGATTCTGACATGATAGAAACAGAGTTTTCTGATGTGTCCTTTTGGAAACGTTAGTTTGTGTGAAAACAGACAGAGATAAAGGAAAACCTTAGAAAAGCACAGTTTGGACTCAGAAAGGTTTGCCTGGATGGTTGTGAGTGTCACATTAATTTTACACAGCAGATGAAAGTTTTCTTTCCTGCCACAATAATTTATGTGTAACCACGTCTTTTCCCGTTTCCCATGAGGTGGTGCATAAGTGTAAAGTGACGCTGAGCTGCTTTCAGAGCCCCACTAAACAGCCATCTCATCACCTAAGCAGTCCGGCAGGCTCTCTGTGTTCAGTACATTTAGGAGTCGTGCTGCAGCCTCGGCCCCGGCTCCTTCCCCCTGCCCCCAGCTGTCACGGTCATCGCTCTCATCTGTGTTTGATTCGTACTCCGATCCAATCCCAGACTCCCTAAAGCGAAGTAACTCCAGGGCTCCCAGGACCTGCTCCCCCAACAGCGAGCTCTCATCACTGGGCGTCTCTCCTGTGTCCTGACCTGGCGCTTGGTTGTCCACCCCGAGCGTGGAAAAACGAAAGCACTCGAGCCGAACTCCAGTGCTGCTGGGCCCCAGAGGAAATGTGTCGATGCCCGGAGAACAGGGCCCTGGCAGAGCAGAGAACCAGGCACTGTCACTGCTCTGGAGCTGGGACTGAACAGCTAACGGGCCAGTAGCTGGTGGAGTGAGGGGTGCACAGGGCCCGCTGGAGGGCCTGGCACGGAACGTTATTTCCAGAAGACTGTCCTGGGAGCCCACTAAGAACAAATAAAGGAGGGGTAGAAGGAAAAAGTAAATGACTGATATCTTTAAAAATAAAAAATGACCACACAAACACACACTAGTTTTAAATTGTTCTAAAAATAATGAGGAAAAAATTGTGTGTAGATATGTATCCACCCCTTTTGCTTTAAAGCGCCGACCATCAACCTTCATGCTGTCCCTGTGTCAAAATGACCCCCAAGACTTCGGTCTTAATTCTGAGGCCTCAGGACTTGTCTTTAAAATTTTAAATCCACGTAATTAGTTACATAAGATCCACCTGTTGGCAATCTTAGGCTATGTTGCTGCAAGTCAATTTGTTCAAATCTGAGTTTTCTGCGTTGTCATTCACCTTATCATTAAAATGCGACTTCCATCAAACTCCGGTGTGACCCGTGTACAGTTCTGAGGTGGCATACATGTGCAAAAGAAAACTTGACGTCACACGCAGCTAACTGTGCTTAAGAAACTAAATATGGATGCTACTTGTTAGCATGTGTGATTCTGAAGCTGTTGTGCAATCAGAACTGAATAAATGATCAGAAATGCTTGTTTGGTCTAGTATTTATATTTCATTTAGCCTCTTTACGAATATTCCGGCGTTGCAATTTATTTTTGGAATTGGAGCAATATACTAAAAGTAAAAACAAACTCAAATATTAATTCCATCATTCAGTATCAATACAGCCCATCACAAATGTGAATATTATTTGTTTCTGTAGATTGTCAGTGATCAGGACGTGAACAATTAAAAGAACAACCATAATGCAGCCGGACTTTTGTTTTGTAGCTGAAGAGATACAGAAATCCGAATTTAAACTTCAAGAGGTTGGTATCATTATTATTAATACTTGGATCAATCCGCTCACTCTTACTTCACAGATGTAAAAGTTGGATGAAATGCAACATGGCCGTTCAGGCTACAGTCGCTTTGAAAAACATCGGCTACATATCCAAATTAGTACCAGTTATGAAAAAGACCTGGGTCGGATTTGAACAAAATTGGATTTATCATGTTCAGACTGTCATGAAAAAATCTGATATTTGGATTTGGGTCGCATTTGTCTGCAGTGTGTATAGCCCAATTGTCAGATGATCTAAGTATATCCACTTGTTTAGACACCTCCCAGAATCAAAACCAGTCCAACCACTAAGCAAGCCATCATAAAACCAAGAAACTTTTCACTGGGGTCACAGACAAAGTTATAGAGAAGAACAGATCAGCGTTGGTTAAATGGTTCAAATACATAAGAACACAGCCTTTATCAATTTTACTTTATTTTCAAAAGAATTTAAAATATTTCCCCCATTTAATTTCATTTATCTTGAACATTTAGAGTCTTTCATTAAAGTTCCATTTAACATCCAAGTTGTAAGACATCAACATCGAAGGGGGTGAATACTTTTAGAACCAAGTGGAAACAAAAACACAAGAAATGTTTGATGTGATCAAAGCAAAGAAGACATTTCACAAAGTTTCTATCCTTATTAGGACCGTGTATTGTCTTCCACTCATTTATAGTTATTTCTGTAGCCAGACCCTGACCCTATCATTAACACTAATCAAAACTCAATTCACACCTTAGTCCTAAACTTAAGCCATAACCCAAAAATGGTGTTCTGCTGTATTAGGACCAGTCTTTGGTCCCCAAAAGAACTAGTGGTCCTGACTAGGTGATTATACCAAGAGAGGGCCTAAAAAGGTAACAAAAACCAAGTACACACACAGACACAGGTCTGTGGAGCACACGCCAGCAGGTCATGAGAAAACTAATTACATGCAAGAAATAGATGACAAGAAGGAACAAATCAGAAAGAAGAGGCAAAAAATGAGATGTGAAAAAAAAAGCTGTGGTTTTAGGTTTGATACTTGCAAAAAAAAAAAAAAAAGACACAAAGAAAGGAAGCTTCGAGTTAGTTCATTATTTATATAAGTAAGTAACTCACTTGAAGTTATGTGGCCAGCAGATTTGAGCTCCAGCTCCTGAATCTGTTTGACCAGGAGTGAAATGTGCTGCAGCAGGTCGGTGTTCTGCTGCAGCAGTCTCTGGACTCGAGCCTGGGCTTCGGTCCGAGCACACAACTCCACCGACAGCTGCTCCTGGAGCACGTGAACCTGCAGGCACCAGGGCACAGCAGGAAAAAACACAGAATCAGACAGAATCAGACTTTCATTTTATGTGGAAAAATGTCACAGTTAAGATAAGAACTTTACTGATCCCGCAGGAAATAATTAAAGCCCATTTTGGTCAGACTTTGGAAATAAAGTTATGTCACATGATCTTTAAAATCTTAGGGTACAATATATGTTAGCTCTGATTTTCAGCCACCACCACACCAAAATTTAGCTCAATATCAGTGAAACTGATAGAGTTACAGCCACTTTTGTGTTTTTTTTCAGTCAGTTAGTTGAGTGGCCATCTTGAATTGGGTTGGCTTTAAACAATGATCGGTCTTGAATATTTATTTAATGTTTACTTTCCAAGAGTTTCTTCAGAATCTGCCCAGTGGTTCATGAGATACTTTGCTAACAGACATGTAGTGCTGACTACAATATTTATTGACACGTTTTCAAACAAAGCACTCAATCAGTGCTCTGAGAATAAGTTAGGTATGACTTTCAGCTACTACCACACCACATATTTTAGCCCAATACCTACATTATGGGGCTTTGCCACTGTCTCTACACACAGCAGCTCTAAACCAAACTGCATCAGTTAAGACCGGGCCTGCCCTCTGCTGGTACCCACCCCCACTCAGCCCGGTTAAATGAGACCACCTTGTTCGTGGTTTCAAGCGGACTGCTCTGAGGTGACGACTGTGATGTAAGCAGAGAGCAGCTGTTGATTAGTCAGCGGAGCTACGTCACGGCATGTCCCGCCCAGTTAGTTTGTTTTTTCAACTTTCTAGTTTCTAGTTCAAATAGTGCTGTGGACAAATGGCGAGATCCAGACGGTTCTGTCTTTGTTGGTGGATGAGAGGATTCAGCGTGAGCTGGACAGCGCCACAAGAAAAAATGAACAAATTTACAGCGAGACATCGGAGAAGATGGCACTGCATGACTACACACGGACCTTTATAAACAGTGCCAGGATAATCTAAAATATTTCAAGTCAGATTACAGTTATGATACAGCCCACTTTGCAAAGACGATCCTGCCCACAGAGCGAGGAAACAAGCCACAGTGGAAAATCACCTACAGCTGAGAAGAACCGATGAGGAGAACTGACTCGAGTCAGATTTTTATCTACAGCAAAGCAGCTTTATTAAGTTATACTTACTTTTGAATTTGATAAATGTTGTCAGATATGTCAGCCATCCTAAATTTGGTATACAGTAGTCCCTCGATTACTTGCGACCCGTCCAGTGTGTACCCCGCCCCTCGCACAGTGATTGCTGGACATGGGCACCGGCGACCCCCGTGACCCAAAATGGAATAAACGGGTAAAGAAAATGGATGGATGGATGGATAGTTCCAGACACCACCACAATAGGTGAAAAACTACGAAGTAGGAGCGCTACATTTATTTTAGTATTTATATATATATATATATATTAAGGCTTTATAAACCCTTCCCACACTCTTGCAATGTGCTAAACTCTTAAACCTAGGTAATTTTAACAACATACGTACATGTACTGTACAGTACTGCAAAATTTACATGGGTACTCACCAGCTCTGCAGAACGGTAGCTTGGTTCCGGTTGAGCCCGGTTCCAGTTCTGCAGACCTACCCTGCAGCAATGAAGCCCTCCGCCGTGTCCATATTGATGTGCACGTGGATAATTGAGCTTCAGGATTATTTCCTGCCAGTTCTGTGAGCTTCATAGATCGATCGTTACTTCTGACTTTGTGTAGCAAAATTTTCCCTCCATTTTGGCAGAAAGCAGTGGCCGGAAGCACTGTTGGCTTCTGGGTAGTGTAGTTCTTTTGATTGGCCTTACAGTGTAGGCTTATTGAAAGAAAACTACAAAATGGTGATGCCTGTCCTTAAGTATTTTTTTGTTAACTTTTAATCTCGCACCTTCCCAATCATGTGAGTAATATTAAAGTTGACAATCGTTGAAAAACCGCGAAAGAGAGAGTCCACGAAAGCTGAACCACAAAGTAGCGAGGGACTACTATACTCCAGAAGTGAATAAATTGCTGATATACATCCAGTAACTACTTTGAGGGAGTTTCATTAAAATCTGTCCAGTTGTTCATGACAAATGTAGCTAGCAAATAAATTCAAACCAAAATGCACTGAACCTGTAAAAACAATGTTTTAGCCTATCAGAGCAGTAAATACATAAATAAACAGTACCTGAGCTGAAGCTGCCAGCGCTTGCTGTTCCTGCTGTTGCAGCTGTTTCTGCAGGAGCTGGACCTGATGCTCTGCAGAGCCGGAGGCCTCTGCTGCAGACTGACCCAATGCAGAGGCTCCCAGCATGGAGGAGCTCTGCAGAAGAGGCTCCTCATTGTACACCTGCAGTGAAACGAAGGTAACTGAGATCTTGCTGCATCTAAATGAGGCTGATGTGTTTATTTCTTTCACTTCAAATCAGTTTGCTTGTGTGAAGCCCTCTGTACTTTTTTAAATCCTGTAAGTATTTTCAGTAGTTAAGTTATTAAAAAAACACCATTAGTATTAGTTGAGCACTATAAACCCACATACTATTGGACAGATAAAACAAAAAGCATTTTGGGGTTTGTAATACTTTTAACACTTGCTTCAACGTTTATATCACTCCAGATAGTTTTAATCAAAGATATTTTATCACAGATAGGAAAGTGATTTTCAAAATCTTAAGGACGTTAAAGACGTTTTATAGGAGTGCCTTTTAACCTCATTTAAGTAGATGCACCATAAAAAAATAAAAAAAGGCCTTACAGCAGTGAATGGATTTGCACTGATGTTTGTCAAACATGTATTTTAAATCACATTTATAGAAAATTTAATGTATTTGTTTATCATTACAGGAATAGTTGTCTGGTTTCTGGTCTAACAGCAGGTCCTTGCCAAAAGCACCCACAAAATAATAATAATTTATAGAGTCAAAGTGAAAGACAAAAAATAAATAAATAAAAAAGTTTCTTCAAAGCTGCTGAACAAGAAAAGTGGGTGGAAAGGGGAACAATTTAGTCTAAGTTATATTTTTTAAAAATAAAAATCATTGCTAATACAGAGCTTTATGAATAATACGTTTTGATGACGTGCATCTACTGTTATTAATAATCAGCATAACACATTTATTGCTATTTTTACCTTAAAGGAATTTTTTGGATATTTTTAAGTGACGTTTTGTAGTAAAAACCAAACATAATAAAACCCCAAATATGAAAAAGTTGGAACATTTTGTAAATTGTAAATAAAATATAATGCAATGATTTGCAAATCTCACAAACCCTTACTTTATATACAATGGAGCCTAGTAAGCATTTCATATGCATGAATGAGCTAAACTGCAAGATGGAAGCGATTTGAGAGAATCGCAGGCCACCTGCGGCTTCTAGGACTCGCCAGCATGTTGGAGTCGACTTTGAAGAAGGCTCATAGCACGGATCAGCGAAATGTCCCTAAATCTGGACATTTTGGATCTTGAAAGTTCCAGCAGGACTCAAGGCTGACAAGAAATAAACAGTTTGGAGAAAATCAACAATTGTGGCTTATCTGAATCTGACTCCCCCATTTGGCCACAGATGCAGGCCGACTATCAAATTTCTCCTGGGACATCAGAATCAGAATAAGCTTTATTTTCACTGTACCGAGATACAGCGAGAATATGTCCGCACAGTTGTCTGAAAGATGGACGGAGTGCACGTAGCTGCTGCTCCTTGAGAGCGCGGCGGCCTCTTATCCTTTTCAGAATACATTTTTAGATAGAAATAGACATGGGTAACCTAAGGAAAAAGCTTTGTCTATCGCACCCCCCCTATCCCCAAGAACTTCTGTGCAGGCTTATCAGAAGTGCTGGCTGATGGCTTCCTCCCCGAGACGCTGGATGGTGGACCAGAATCGCCTCAAAGCCGTACGGAAGTCATTCTCCATGGCCTCTCCGAACTCCTCCCACGCCCAAGTTTTTGCCTCAGCGACCACCCGAGCCGCATGTCGTTTGGACTGCCAGTACCCATCAGCTGCTTCTGGAGTCCCACAGGCCAAAAAGGCCAGATAGGACTCCTTCTTGAGCCTGACAGCATCCCTCACCGACGGTGTCCACCACCGGTGTTCCAGGGTTACCGCCGCGACAGGCACGGACAACCTTGCGGCCACAGCTCCGATAAGACGATTAAACCACAGGAGGTCATCTGACAGAACTCATTCCACTACTAAACAACACAATGTATTTTTTACTGTTTAGTGTGTTTCAGTGTTTGTGTTTCTGATTGTGTGGTTTTGCTGCAGTGATAAACACACGTAAATACAACTCACTTTACCTAATAAAGTTTGAAAACCATTGAACAAGAGCACTTTTGGAAACTACAAGTGCGTTTTTCTACTTCAAAAGATAAAGAGTTGTGGATGCACAGCCAACATTTCATTTAAACTCATCCGGTGGTTTGTGAGATATTTTGCTAACAAACACACAAACTTGACTCCAATAGTTAATGGCACAGTTTTAGTAACAGACCTCGCTCTTTCCGTTAGCGTTTAGATCGTGTTGGCGATCAGTCTCAGCTACTACCACACAATGTGAGGTCAGTATCTGTAAACTGGTGAAGGTAGAGACAGTCTTGTCTTTGCCAAAGTATCCTAACTGTGACGGCCATCTTGAATATCACTGACTCTGAAAGGTCATTGGTTGTAAATGTATTCAGTGTTCCCATCTGGGGTGATATTTTAAATATGTAAGAAACTGAGATTATTAAATTTAGTGAAGTGATTGAGCCACATGTCTCTGCAAGGTAGAAGAAAACCTTTTTATAATGAAGTGTGAACAAAGTTTGGTTGTTAGTGTGAGAAAGTGAAATGATGAAGGACAAACTCGTCACTCTACCTTCCCTCCAAGAGCCTCGTCCTTCTTGTTCTTTTCCAGGTCTGAGGAGACGCACTCGATGCTCTCCTCTGTGGTGGCTTCAACATCGGTCTCCTCCAACAACGCCACCCTCTTCTTTGCTGCAGAGCGACAAGAGATTTTTATGTTGGTTTGATTTAGGAGTTTGCACCACAGCTAGAGGCAGTGACAGCTGCTGCACCAGCGAGCCTGGAGATGCCAGGAGCCCACACAAAGGAGCTGTTTGATCAGGGGCTGTTAGACTCACAAAAAAAAATAAAATAAAAATTAACTTCATCATGCAAACAAAAAGTGTTGGAGGATAATGACATCCGTTCTAAGTCTACTGGGGTTTTGTTTGTATGAACAAAGCAGAAGAAGGCCTGAGGAGCTTGTGTGCTGTTGTATGAAATTGGGCAAAAGGATGAGACGGTGAGGGAGTCTGAAGGGAGGGGGACCGTTTTATAGATGCAGTATGCGTTGAAGTCACCTGCTGCTGCTTCCTCTGGCTCCTCTGACTTCTCCTCCTCCTCATCCTCTTGTGCGTCACATTTCTCCTGCAGGGTCAGCTGGTGGCACACGTCAAACGCCTGGCCCACCGTCCGCACAATCCTCATAGCCTGAGACTGAAAGGGGTGTTGGGTGTTGGGTGGGGGGAGATGAGGAATTCATTATAAAGATATGCAGATGTTACACGGAAAGGAAGAAAACACAGTCCTTAGAACTCAGTGTGACTTTTAGAAAAATAAAACTCTTCAGTTGCCACTTCTGTGGTCATTAACAGAGAAGCTGTTGAGGTGGTGCATCAGTATGATGACAAACTGACCTTTGACCCCCATGTGAACTCACTTTGTAAGAAGGCCCACCAGAGAGCGTATTTTTATCAGAAGCTCTGTGGTTTTAATGTTGATTCTACTTTTATGTGTTTTATTCATGTTTTATTGAGTTTGTTTTAACTTTCACCTTCATCTGTTGGTTTGGATTTTTAACATGTAAAAACAGGAACAAACTCTCAGGGATTGTCAGGATGTGCAGCCAAACTGCTGGCACAGTCCTACAGAACCTCACTGACCTACACAAGGCGAGGTCCATGAACAAGGCCAGGCTGATTCTGGCAGATCCTGATCACCCACTCCATGCTGAGTTCAGGTTGCCTCCATATGGACGCAGGTGTCTGCTGCCCAGATATAGTACAGACTGAAAAATTCTTTAATCCCTGTAGTGATCAGGCTTCTCAACGAACAGTGATGATTTCTGTACTATTTTAGTGTCTTAATGTCTTGTCTAGTTTCATGTTTCATGTGCCTACTGACTGTGACTTGAACTTGACTCAGATCACTGCATCATCCTTCAGCCATTGTTAAATTTACTAATAAATATAAAATATTAAACAAGCCATAGGAAGTCTGATATACAACTTTGATCCTTATCAGACAAGAGATACAGTGAGTTGATATTCTTTCTATTTTGATGTATGGGAAGGTATGTTTGAACATTTTCTTATGCATTTATAGGAAAATTTAAAATGCTATGCTGTCATCATTCATTCAACCTGCATTTAGACAGGTTAATCCCACTGAGCCTCCAGGACTCATTTACAAGAGAGACCTGAATCATATACAGCATTTTGTTTCCTCTGATGTTGGAGTTATTGAATGTTTGGTTTAAGCACACAGGCAGAAATAAATCAGACAGCAGGACTTCCATCATCAATTTCAAGCCTTAATATGTGCTTTGAAATCAGAAGGAATGAAAGGTTATCTTCCATGTCCTTCCTCAGTCTAGCAATAGGTGATGTGTTCCACGCTGAGCGCTGACAGGAATTTATGACTGTCTCTGGAGGATCATCCTGCCTAAAGGCATGTCAAGGTGGCTCAATCTTCAAAGATGCTTAATTGAAAGCAGAAGCTAAACCCATCAAAACCAGAAATGCAGTGAAGAAATGTATTATAATGTTTTTTTAACACAGAATATAGCCTGATCCAGTTTGCTTTAGAGCTGCAGACAGACAACCTTCCAGGACAAAAGGCTTCAGGTCTCTCTTGTCAATGAGTCCTCGAGGCTCAATGGGACTAAGCTGTATAAATAAAGGTTGAATGAATGATGAGCTGAGTCCTGCACCACAGCATGCTGTGATGAAAATAAATGAAATCTCTCTTTATCAGCTGATCCACCTACTCAGCATGCACGCTCAGTCTGCAATGAGCAGATAAAGCTTTACAACCTCAGGCTGGAAGGAAGACACCACTGACTGTGTTTTTGACAGAGCAGTGGGTGTTTTGCTCAGCAGTGGTGAAAATGTCTTTAAGAGCAGAATGAAAGAGTCCCTTTTCATTCTTTCATCCCACAAGAATGATTAGTATTCAGTTTCACTCAGTCACCGGCAGCCTGGTATCCATGGTGAAGGGATAGGAGTCGACCTCTCTGATGCTTTGTCATAAAGAAAGAAAAATGTCTCGGCTTGTTACGCAGATATGTAAAGCGGAGCGTGTGTTTCATTTTCTTCTCAGAATTGAACACATGAAGAGCCTGACATGAGTGGCTAAGGGTTAATAATCCCTGCAACACAGGCAGAAATATGAAGAAAGCTTCCAAAAATGCAAAGACGAGCTCATTCAAACCCAGTTTGTGTCAGAATTAGACAAACAGAGCAGTGCAAAGCAGCTACAAAACTAACGACTCACCTTCCTCTTAGACTTGAACACATTGCAGCGAAAAACGTTGCTCTCTCCCTCTCTTGCTATGTAGCTGAAAATCTTTAGGTCTTGAGCATCATGTGAGACATAAAATATCCTGTTTGAGACAGGACAATTTATGAAATCAGGTCAATTACACACACACATATATATATATACAGTATAGAGATGAAAGAGAACAAAGATTTTCGCAGAAATGTATACATGTCTAAGAGGAAGGTGA